TCAGGACAAGTCTTTACAATTTGACATGCACATTCTCTAGAAATACCAAAATTGTTGTCTCAAGCTATTACTATTTTGATGATGTAAAGAATGAGATTATTTGGCTAACTATTCCTGTGTAAATCCTATAATCTTCCTGGTATACAAATCTGCTGTGGCATTTCCCTAAGGGGTTCAAGCAATCCAGTGTGGGGAAAAATTAGAGGGCTGCAGCTGTGGAGTCCCTGGGGGTTTCCACGCTGCAGTGGGTCCCACATGCAGGAGGAAGTCTAAGGTTCCAGAGGCCGGGGGCTTTGCGGCGGTAGGCTCCAATGACACGAAGAAGTCCTTGGTTCCAAAAGGTTTATTGTCATTGCGGATGGTGGATGGATCTGGGCATACCCCCGTAAAACTCAGGGCAGTCCTGAGTTATATAGGGAGGGAGAAAGGGGGAGGATTGGGGGAGGATCTGGGGAGGATCTGGGGAGGCATGCTTAATTTGCTCTGCCCTCTGGCCTTCATTAGTATGTAAATCCCTAGAGCCTGAGGCTTCTAGTCACACCCTCTACCTGTGCACTTTGGGAGGGGCTGTCTGGCCTACGTGACTGAACAATGTAAATCTATGGAGACTAGACTGATTTTCAGGACCCTGGGTTCTGGGAGCATGCAGAATTCCTGCCGGTTCTCACGCAGAGTCTCAGGGTTCTAGGCAACTGCCCAGCCATGACCCAGAATACCCTTACGCAGTCCCACAATCCAGTATGAGCTCTTAAATGTCCTATAAAGTTAAGGAATAGTACGCTCTTTTAAATTGAGTTGTATTTGCATAAGTAATTGCAAAATTTGAGAATTAGCAGTATCTAAAAAAGGAACAATTTCAAGTAATTGTGAACCATGAACTATATATTGGCTATCAGTATACAAATTAAAAACTTTTCAGCATTTCCTTTTTAAAATTGAATATTTTATTAATTTACATTTCAGATGTTATACCCTTTCCCCATTTCCCCACCCAGAAACCTTCATCCCATCCCACCTCCTTCTGCTTCTATGAGAGTGTGCCCCCATCCACCCACTCACTCCTGCCTTCCCATCCTCTAATTTCCCCACACTGTGACATCCAGTCTAAACGGGACCAAGGGCTTCCTCCCCCACCGATGCCTAACAAGGCCATCCTCCCCTACATATATGGCTGGAGCCATGGGCCCCTCCATGTGTATTCCCAAGCTGGCTGTTTAGACTCTGGACTCTGGTTGATTGGTATTGTGACTTTCCCCATGGGGCTGCAAACCCCTTCGGCTCCTTCAGTCATCTTTCTAACTCCTACCTTGGGCACCCAGTGATCAGTTCAATGGTTGGCTTCAAGCATCTGCCTCTGTATATGTCAGACTCTGGCAGAGCCTCTCAGGAGACAGCTATATCAGGCTCCTGTCAGCATGCACTTCCTGGCATCCACAACAGTGTCTGCATTTGATGACTGCATGTGGACTGGATCTCCATGTGGGATAGTCTCTAGATGGCCCCTCCTTCAGTCTCTGTTCCACACTTTGTCTCTGTATTTCCTTCCATGGGTATCCCCCTTTTGTATTTCATAAACAAGACTGAGCCTGTCTTAGGTCGTTCTGGCAAGAGTGCCTTCTTTATCATGGATTATACATTATCAAAAACTGCATTTATGTCTTAGGTTGGTAAGGCTCTGTGCAGAATCTTACCTGTCCTTGGCTTGCCAGCCTGTTAAATTAATAACTCTGTCTGGGGATCCATTTTCAGTTTCAAGCCATGTACTTTGGCTGCCAACATGTTGATGCTGTTAAAGACAAGATCACTGGACTTTGTTTATTGCCTTGCTTGTTCTTTGACTATTTGTGTTTATTGCCTTCCTTGTTCCTTGACTATTTGCATCTGTTGTATTGCTAGTTCCTCAACCTAGAACTGACCTCAATACTTGCATGTAATTAAAATGATATAAAAGCAAAAAAAAAATCAACCAGCAAAAACAAAAGCAAAACAAAAAAACCACCAAACTTAGAAGTTAGAAAAAATCTTGGGAGTGGGGCATATATGATCAAGATACATTGTATACAGGTATGACCTTTTCAAAAGCAAACTATACTTTCAAAAGAAAAAAATTAAACAATCATTCTATACAGAAATAGCAATAAGCTTTTCTGAAGGAGACCCAAACAAGACAATGCCTATTGTCCACAGGTTGACACTCACAACCCAGCTTTGTTTCTAGATATATAACCAGACTGTGTTTCCTCAGTTGCTATGTATACTTGGAATATGTATATTGAGGAGTTGGCAAGAATATCTATATTGTTTCCCAGACCTGTGGTATGAGGAATGTCATGATTAGAAAGGCCAGTAGAAACCATTATATGTGCCTCTACTTGGGAAAATCATGAATCAAAATCAGTAATCATTCACTTGGAAAAGTTTTGGAGAGAGTGCCACCATCAAGAACATGAAAGATTCAGGGCAATAAGTTCAACCAATTCTCTGTGTAACTTTCCTGTTTGCCCTGTGCAGAAAACAGACAGACTTCAGGTCATGGCAGTTATAAGTCTAAGTAGGTAGTGGATCCAATTGTTCCTTCTGTACTATATATTATTTCCTTTTTTTTTCTTGTAAAACAAACTAAGTTATCTTCTGGTACCACATGAAGGAACTGATCTAGCAAATGCTTTTTCCCCTCTAGAGCTGTTTTTAAGGCCTATTAGAAAGATGGCAAAACATCCAGTATACCTTCAGTGTCCAGTCTCGAAAGTATATTAATTCTCCCTAAGCCCATTTCTCTTTGTGTATTGTGTTTTCTTAGACATGGATTCTTCTTCTGTATTGATACCAAATGTCAGTCTTTGTTCAGTGTTGCACTAATTCTGCTGGAATCACCTGAAATAAAAGCTTAATATCTGAGGTGTTAGAGACATCTGGTGACTGTACTCCTCACACATACATACATATTGCACATACACAGTTGTCACACTTGACCTGGTGAATCATTCTTAGAGACCTCGGTACAATCCCAAATGGAGACCACACACACACACGCACACGCACATGCACATAGGCATGCACACACACACAAAATGTAGTCACACACTTTATTTAATGAACTTCTCTGCTTCAACAATAAAAACATATTCTGTAAATTTCTCAGAGAAATTTAACAAAAGGAGAAACCATTGTTCCACTGTTTTTTTCTTCTATGGAGGGATTTCAGAGGCTTTTTTGAGATTTCTATTATTATGTTAATTTGAGTACCTAAGTTGAAGTCATATAGTTCTGAAAGAAACTCCCAGATACTGAGTATCTGGTTCATAACAACATCGATATTCAGGCATTTAATATTGTGTAAACTGTCCAAATACATAAATCATAACACAAGCATAAACAATATCAAATAGAATGATATTTAATTTTAAAGAAAAAGCATAGAACAGAACTTAAAGAAAAGTGCTTAAATTTTTATTTACATAAAAATAGCTTGGCTTAAACATGAGAATATTTATAAATGAGAATAGTTAGTCAAATGCAACACTAACTTAAGAAATTACTGAAAGTGCTATAAAAATTAGTAACTTTAAAAATATAAAGACTGTGATGCTCAAATCCTACTAATGCCACAGGAGTAGTGCCAGTGCCAGAGTGAAGTTGGCTAAGAGGAGGCAGAAAGGAGATTCCATGTGGTATGTCTTTTGCCCAGGTTGAGATTGACACTCTGACAGAATAGATAGGTGTAAAATGCACTAGAAGTGAATTTTTCCATAGCTCTAATCATCTAATGTTTCTGTATCAGGACACTAAATGCATCGAGCAAGATTGGAGTGTCCTATCCTCCTCTCTCTTAAACATCCATTTTTAAGTAATTGGTATAGTTTTCTTTAAATATTGAAATGAGTTGACTGGTGACACACTCTGGGCCTGAGTTTCACTTGCTGGGGAGGTTTGTGGCTATTTCCCTCATTCCTTCACTTGTTATATAACCATTCATTCAAGAAATAAATTCTTTTATTGTAATCATTCTTGGGTGGCTTTTCACAATTTATATCTTTTTACTATTTGTTCTCATTTCTTTTAATTGTATAAACTGTTTGATTCACTCCGTGACTTTAAATGCTTGTGGTTTCTGTAAAGTTGGTAATGATGCCTCCTTGTTTCATAAGAGGTTTGGAAATTTTGATGCCAAAAGTGATGACTGATCTAGACTGGAGATGTAGTGATGAAAACATTAACTGTGAGTTCTTGATGGTAGGCCTTCTTTCCCCGAATTAAGAGGAGTTACATGATTGACAGTAGACAAGGGCTGGGGACGTGTCTCAAAGAAAGACTCTCCTCTATAAATGAGTTTGGCAGTAGCAGAAGAAAAGAAGAAGAAGAAGAAGGAGGAGGAGGAGGAGGAGGAGGAGGAGGAGGAGGAGAAGAGGAAGAAGAAGACGAGTTTATTGTGGACTCAAATAGACTTTAATGTCTTACAGAATATAACTGTAATTGCACTGTCATTCACCACATTCCAAATTTTACTATTAATTTCATTTTAAACATATTTTATGTTTTATGTGTGTTTTACATAGATGTATGTCTGTGTGTGCCCTACATGTGTGTCTACTGCCTACCAAGACCAGAAAAGGATGTCAGATAACTTTGAACCTGGAGTTACAGTAGCTTGTGAGCTGCCATGTGGATGCTGGTAATAAAACTCGTGTCCTTACAGGACAAGTCAGTGCTCTTAACCTCTGAGACATCTATCTAATCTCCCATAAGAAGTCTCTTATGGGAGAAATGTCTCTTATTTGCTCTGGTGATTCTAGAAATAAGTATGTTATCTAGTACCTCCAAAATACGTTGCTAGACTTTGTGTGTTCATTCAATTTTAGTTTAACACACACACACACACACACACACTTGTCTTTCCCATGCTTTTTTTTTGGCTGATAGAGAACAACATGTATTTATGTATCACAGAGGACTTGATATGTGCATAAAAGCAAAACAACAATAACCAGTACAAAAAGAACCCACAATCACAAAAAGAATTTATTTTGAAGCAACAGCACATACACTTCTTGAGACTTCATTGCAGTTCACTTGTCTCTATGCACCAGTGAATAAGATTGATATGATAAAAGACCCATGCCTTAGCAGCCATTCTGAATAAAAAGACTGTTAATGGTTAACTGTTGCTGTTAATTACAGGGGACAAGAAAATGCTGTCCCTTAGCTCTACTAAACATCTCCTGAAACATTCCAATAGTTTTCTAAGAAATATCTGGGGCTCTGGCTACTATTTGTAGGTCTGAGCGTTGGCTGAAGCCAAGGTCATGGAAATCAATAGGGTGCCACTAACACACCCATTCAACTTATACTGGTATTCACTGTATAAAGTCTACATTTTAAGTAGCAAGCATTGCTACCTTGTGATGGTTAGATTTTCTGCATTATCATGAAGACATACCCTCTGTTGTATAGTTCTATTTGTTTGGGGGTATTTTGTTTTGTTTTGTTTTTCTGAACAAAACTATTGTTCCTCATATGTGGGGTTACAAAGTGCCTTTGATTCCACGTTGGATTCATTATTTGAGCTATGAGGCAGGAAAATCACATTCTAGAAAAAAGAAAATATGTGAAGTTACCAAACATTATTTCCTTAGTATCTTTAAGTAAGAAAAACATGTAAGATCAGAAGGAAGGGAACCAGATCCTAAGACCCTGACTGAATACATTCCAGTGTGCAATTGGTCTTTATCAAGTCAAGACTGGTAAAGAGAGTAGTCAGTATAAGAAAAAGTATTCCTAGTTAGTGGGGAGGGAACCATGCTCCAGCATCCTGAACACAGGCAACTTCATCACAACACCAGGAAATATTTTTAACTTTCCAGAACCTAAGTTCCTTTGCAACAGGGAAGGGAAGAACCAGGTGGTTTGTCTGTTTCCATGTCTAGATAATCCTCATCGGCTACACAATTACCTTCTATCTGATCATCTACTGTCCCACCTCCCTGTCCAAATCACCTGATATTCATGTCATTGTGACTGATGTCATTTTATCTGCTATCATGACAGCATAGATCAACATGTCCCAGAAGAATACCAGGAAAGATTCAGGAAGCCTATACAATACTCACCCCAGGGAAGTCAAAGTGACTCTGTTTCCACCGCAGCATGGCAATGATCACAGCCAGGCCAAGCTCCAACAGACTGCTGATCAACATCAGTGAAAAGACACCCTAAATTCAGGAGAAGAGAGGTCAGTGTGATTGAGCCAACTGAAGCCCTCATACCTGGGTGGTAGGTGACTGTAGAGATTAAATCATATCCACCATCAGAGAAAGGAAAGGATCTTCCCAAACCTACAAAAGGGCTAAATTTGATGTCTGGTCCCTTCATTCCTTGGAGAAAGTGGGTGAAGAGGACAAACTAAATCGACAAAGCCATTTTCTAATACTTCTCATCTCTCTTGATCATGGATTCTGACTACAGTGTTCACTCAATTAGGGAGCAGAGAGGAGTAGTGACCCCAGGACAGAGTCAACAGCTCCTACTCTTCTCTGTCTTTTGCTGCTTAGTGTGAGGCTGTGCAAGTCTCTGCTTCTCCAACTTCTATGTTCTCACTTATCACATGAGGTAGTACTTCCTGTACAGAGACTTGTGAGGATTAGTGAGGTTCTGACCCTGCAATCTCTTTGTAAAAGTTAGCATTGATAGAACATTCTTCCTTGGGATGCATTTCTTTTTGTGATGGCAAAACGGTAGAAAAGCAATCCAGTTTCTACTGTCTGCAACATCACAAATCAACTCAAAGAAAGGTCTAAGTAAAGAACACATATCCTATGATCTTTGTCCTGAGGTGTCCTTCATGAAGACCACTTGGTAGGAAGGGTGATGAATGTGACATTATAAACCCTTCATTTATCTGCACACATACAAGCATTGTGAAACTGCATACAATGTGAAACTATCCCATGATGACATCTTACTTTGCGATCCATAAAAATTTCTTCCCAATATTTCAGGCTTCTAAAGTCAGGCTTAGTTATTCCAGATGTTAATTTACTCACATTATTATGCATCTAATTTACACATTCTTTCTTCTTGTGGTTTCTTTAAGTACGGAAGAAACACTTGATGCAGATCCATAAGGAAACAGAAAGCCTGAGGCTGACAAGACCTGACTATCTGGCCATCTTGGTGCTGTGGGTTTTCTTACTTTAATTTTATTATAATAAGAGAATGAATATTATACAGAATTTTCATTGTTATCTTACCCAAAAGTTCTCTCCATGTGATAGGGACCAAGTGTATGTTCTTAGATGTTTTAATTGAAGGCATTTTATTCCTGTTAGTCAAATTGCAATACTTTCTTACAACAAGATGGAGGTCCCTCACATCACTGCCAGTTACTCTTCTCTAGTTCACTGTATTTCTTTTCTCATTTAACAATCTCATCTCTTTGAGGCTGATGAAAGCAACAGTGAGCTCACCTCCATACAGGCCCAGTGCAGGCTACTGTGAGTCCTTGAGGGAGCAGACACCTGACACCCCTACTCTACTCCTATCCTTCCCACAATCCATTTCTCAGTGCTTAGTTGAGTTTTGCTCAGCTCACACTACTCCCTCTACTATACATGCGCCAGGGTTCCTTGTTGGCGAATCCATATCACCTGAGTCTTTTGCATATGAAACTTATCGTGCTAAATAAATAAAATCCAATCTATAAATACAATTTATTTATAAGATAAGCAAATTTATTTGTTTATAAAATAAATCCTATCAATATATATAGGCCTCTGGAAAAGATATTAATGCTTTTAATCCAGATTCATTTTTGGGTTAAAAATGATTTGGGGTTAAAATCCTTAACATTGTTTACCTTTCCTTTATTCAGCCTTGATTGTTCCCTAAGATCTCAAACAGAAAGAGTGATTTTCAAAAGATAGGAAAAAGATGCCTATTTCCCCATAACTAAAAATAAAAATATTCAGTGCGGCCTTTAGTAATACTTACAGCCAAAACAGATTCGGTGGTAGTGCACTCATTCCTGTCTGAGTCATAGGAACGGCGATAGTAATGATATTCAGTTGGTCTAAGTTCCTTGTTCTGCTTGCACTCCTCTGAGGCAGGATGCAAACCAGCCAGGCTGACAGAGATGATAATGATGCCCATGAAAGCAAATGAAACACTCAGGATGTTCAGAGTCAGGCTGCCATCTACCTGGAAAAAGCAGCAGGTTTCACTTATAGCTCTCTTCCAAAACTATGCACCAATTTTCCTTATTTAGCTTCAATAGCAGCTTAAAGATTAATAATTTATTTCTTTATTCTTCCTAATGCATAATTACAATCACTTCAAAGAGCAGAGCCCCTGGTTTTCCGTGCCTATTTTTCCTATGCTCCATTTCCCAGATGTTATTTGCTAGGTTACTCTACCAAACCACCACCACCTCATGTGACTAAGGATGCCATTTGTGGAAACAGTGTGAGGCAGAAAGAAACAGAATGGGACTCTATGTTGGTAAATTGAGGCCGCAGTGGCAGAAGTCCTTGGAGTCTCACTGATCTGCATTACTCAGTTTCAATGCTCATTTTGGATCTTCTCTGTAACACTTATGGTGTCAGTGAAATAAAGAAACTTTTCTTGATAGTGGCTTTATTTCTTTTTCAATGTATTGAAAATGAAAATTGAGCTAAAATCAGTCTGAAAGCTACAGTTACATGTAGGTGTTTCTAGGACACACCCAACTGTATGGCACTTGAGTGTGATTTAATTTCAGGTCACTTATATTTTAGACAGATTGTATAAATCACTCAGAACTTGGTGCTTTTAGGTGCTTCTTTTCACAAATAGTGACTAAAATCAAACTCTTGGACACTTTAACCAATATTTGCAATCAGAAAACTGATCGTATGTGTGCTCTTGGAATGCACTACGTTCACCCTAACTGGCATTCTTCTTTAGTCTCCATACACTGTATAAAAAGAACATTCTTCAGCATTGGTGAAGCATCTTACATAAGCCTTAATCTATTTACAGACTACCTCTATTCTCAGTTGATTTTAGTCGTGGTATTTTTACCACAGCAACAGAAAATTAATTAATGCTCTGTATATTTGAGTGAGTGGTTTAGTCAGCTCTTCCTAACTAAACCCATAAGCTATTTCATTACATGATATTCTCTCCAATGACTTCCTGAATCAATCTCTTGAGGAATGTGTGATGACTGAAGACTAGGTGAATCTTTATATTGTTCAAAAACCTTCCTATAGTCCAGCTTTCTTCTGCCCAGGACTAGTTTTTCACTGGAAAAAGATAAAGTAAAAAAAGCTGAATTCTTAGCTAAAACAAAGAACTACTGAGACATTCAGAATTCCATCATTCTGCTTTTCAGTTCAAATTGTATAATCAATTTAGGCAAAATCCTTTCTTTATGGAGAAATAGAGAAAAAACATGAACATTTTCTCTAGGGATTCTTATGAGTTTTAGGTAGTGAGATTGCATAGTATACTCACAACCAATAAAATTCTTTAAAAACAAGGACATCAGCTTCAGTACTGAATAGTAACATGTGTGTTGTTAGACTCTTCATTGCCATGACAAAGTGCCTCACATAAACTATGTTTGGCTCAGTTTCAGAGGCTCAACTGACCATTTTGGGACTAGGTTGGCAGAGCAAAACAGCTCACAACATGCTGGTCAGGAAGCCTAGTGAGAGGATACCTGTGTTAACCACATTTCAATTTCTCCCTTTTATTCCATCCTGGTCTTTATATTAGGGAATGGAGCAATCACATTTTGGAACTGAAACATCCCAAAGTTATGCTTTATTAATCTTTGAGGCACTTCTCAACCCACTCAATTAGATGATCAAGATTCTCCATCATTGCCTGCTGCCTACACAATTGCATCATAAGAGAGCAGGATTTTACCTGAGATTCCTTGGCACAGGTCTCAGATACCAGGCACATTATAATTGTGGCCACCATGATAGAAAGTGTGTGCTCCACATAGGGATAGCAAGAACCCAGAATCAGCTCACAAATCAAAAAATCAATCACTGTAGAGCTTAAGTTGTAACTTCAACATGAAAAGCCCAGTCCTGAGGTATCTCTCTGGCTTTTGTGCTCACCAGCTCTGGGATATGGCTCTTGTACTCACCAAAGTTTTTGTTGACTTTGTCTCTGTGATGATGGACAGAATTCCAGAGACAATAAACTGCTCAAACAAGAAGAAAACATTGGCAGGTCAATTTCTATGTACAAAGTGACTGTGTTTCACTCTAAGGTGTTTATGGCAAACTCTCATGGACCAAATGACCAATTACACACAAACTTAGGCTCACAGGTGTGTGTGTATGTGTGTGTGTGTTTGTCCATGCAGTATTCAGAAAAGTCAAAGAAAAGGTAGATCAGAGTAGAAGTCTATCACATTAAAATTCATAAATACTTTAAGAGATGACAAAAAGATGTTTTGTTAATTGCAAAGGAAAATGTGGATTTAGATAATTTTAGAGTCTGAGGCATTGATCTACAAGGAGAGAAAATGGAAAATAATGATGGGGGTGGAGTTGTCCCTTCTTTCACCAATAAAGTTATAGCACTCTGATTTGCACATAAAAGCCATGCAAACTTCCTTCAGTAACTCTCACTTCAACATGTTGAAGTAATTTTTCAAGTGTTATTTTCAGCCTGTTGGTATTTTAGTGAGGAATTTTGGAACTATATCCTCTGAGATACTGGCCTGTACCTTGCATTTTTTGTCATGCTCCTGGCTGGCATTACATCATTATCTTGGCATCAAGATAATGCTGGCATCCAAAAAATGAGTTTAGAAAATTACCTCTTTCACATTTTGCTAATAGTTTGAGAGTGATCTGCTCTATGTTTTCGAGTTTTGGTTTCTATTTCTTTGAAGGAAATACGGGAATATATTAACAAAGACAGATGAAAAGAAAAAGGACTTTCAGTAACTGGTTCTAAAGATCAAGATAAATGAGGACAAAAGAAGCATAAGTTTGCAATTTCCAGAAGCCTTTAGTTGTGAATTTTTTAAATCATGATCTTATCATGATATATTTTTTCTATTATCCAATAAAGTAAATAAAACCAAGTTACAAACCTCTTATGAAAATTTTTTAAAAGTAGAAAATTTGTGATTTCTATTAAAGCAGCCTGTCCAAGTAAATAAATGCTGGATCTTTATCTATGCAATGGTAGGGATTGCCCTCAGGGTAAATGAAGTCTATGCAAGTGTTTTGATGCTGAACTATACCCACAGTTTCAGAGATAGAGTCTTAATAAAGTTAAAAGAACTGAGTGTCTCTTCTAATGCAAGACATGCTCAGTGAAAAGAGCACACAATAGTGAGGAGAGAAAAATAAAGTAACTGCACTGACCTAGACATCACCACATCAGCCCTATGATCAGAGTTATATCAACAGTGATATGTTGTAAATAATATGCATTTTTCAAGATATGTACAGTATGACATGTCACTGATGTCAATTCCACCTACACAGTCACCATTCTCTGTTTAATTAAAAATTAACAGGATATCAGACAAAGTCAAACATAAATATTTACAAAAATCTAGGCCAGCATAACTCTGAAACAGTCAAAGTCACCAAGGACAAGGGAAGACTGAGAAGGTCCAAATAAGGATATCTAGTGAAGATTCTGGACACAGAAGTGGTGGAATGCAGTGTGCTTTGAATGGTAATTGGGATAAAAGTAAACAATCATGGAAAACTTATGAAAGCAGACAAGACAATGTATTGGTCTGAGAAGAGAAAATCAGAAATCATTGACACAACAGAAAGAAAGATTGAACTGTGGATGAATCAAAGGGAGAGTTGCAGGAAGGGGAAAAAACTGTAGTAAGCAGATTGGAAATCCAGTCTATCACCCTGAATGCCTCCAACAAAGCCAGATCAAAAGAATGAAAGTGCTCCTTCCTGCAGTGTGATCCACTAGACGACCTTGCATGATACAGAAAGCTCTAGATCATTTAGATCCCACTTCCTAGACTTTTCTCTAAACTCAAGAGGCCTATAAAGTCATCATTGCTCAAGGGATAACATGAAAGGGTGACATTCCTAAGAAATGTTTATTTGGATTAGATGGAAAAATCTTGAGGGTGACATAATTGCTGCCCTTCTACACTAAGGCCTTCTCTGTTAACACACAGAAGAACAAGGTCTACTACTGACCTCCTTTTCACAGTATACAGAAATGCAGCTAGATGACAACTCCCTTCTCTCTCCTCCCCATCTTATTCCCCACAGAAGTCTACTTACAAACAAAGCTCCTATAAATGGGTAGCCAGATTTTAATAGGACTGAAAACACTGAGGTAAAATGTGGGACAGAGGGAACAGATGCCAAAATGATTCCAAGAGCCAACACCATCACAGCACACATGATCTGGATTGCCTGTTGAAAGAAGGGAGATGGTGATTAAACCAGCAATGACAAGAAGGACCTCTCCACTTTCCCCTGGTGCCCTTGCATTGACATCTATAACATTCCAGGGTCTACACAGACACTGTACAAGCTCTGCATTCAGAAAGGAAAGTTCATTTTAGGAGGTATGTGGTTCTTCCAAGCCTAGGTCACCTTTAGGCATTTCTGTCCTTGAACCCATTGCATGCTCTTGACCCTTCCTGGCATCTCCTGGCCTGGCAGAGCTTGAGTGCATGGGTAGCAAGTCTCCTGTTTCCTCTTGTGGGAAAACAGACATCTGAACTCCCTCCTGCTCTGAGCACTAGAATGTGGAAAGTTCTTCCCATATCCTCCAGAGCCCACAGAATACAATAGGGCCAGCTTCTCTGTAAAGCTCCACAGCACCTTCAGTCCAGTTATTCATTTTGGAGATCCCTTGCCTCCATAGTAAATGGAAAATTATGACTTTTTGACACTCTCCTCCTTCACCTCCCAGACCTACCACTCTTGTAATGTTGATTAAGCAATTTTATAGACTGTTGTTTACATGTTCTTCAGAGGAATCCAATGGATAGTACGTATGCCGAAGGCAAGGCCATCAGTTCCATTAAATTCTGAGACTAGATAACACAGTGGCCCATGCATATAGTCTTATTACAGACAAGACTGAAAAACAACTCCATTCTTTGTCACATAAAAATTTTTTCTTCTCCCTTTACCCAAAATTGACCCATTAGTGAGTCTGGGATGAGCACTGAGTAGCAAACCAATGGTCTTTCTGTACCATCTCTTTTCACTAAGGAGGAGAAGGGTATTCTACACTCAGAGAACACCTAGAATGTAGCTCTAAATATTTTCATAAATAAAATACTTAGTAAGCACTCTTGAAAAATGAAGAAAAAAACAAAAATATTAAACAACAAAATCTCAATGACCCATGTAATAAGGTCATTGGCGTGCAGTCCAGCTCATTGGAATACAGGGAAATATTTGCCAGCTCTAGAAGGTTTTAGTGATGTAAGCAGCTCGCCAAGGGACTTCTACCAGTCTACCGGCTACTCAGTGATCACTCTGTCAAATCTGAAGGCTTCCACCTCCAAATCTCTCTGTTTCTAATATATGAGCCTCACCCTCTGCCCTCCTCCCACCCCAGGGTGTTCTGAGTGTGATTTACCGCCATCACTTTGATCTCTGCCTTTAGATGTTTCTTCAGGCTGTCTTTCCTCTGGTGAGTAGGCTGGGGTTTCTCTGCTTGGGGAAAGCTGATTCCATTTGGTGAAATGACTGTGACGGTCTCATTGGTCACTACTTGTGGAATCATGATGGAGCTCCCACAGCTGGAAGAAAAAATGGACTCAGCTCTTACGAAGTACTATCCCCATTGTAATGGCTTGTTTTGTTTGTTTGTTT